GTAAAAATTCTCTAATTAGTCTGGAAACGGGGGACCTAATTCTTGCATTCTGTGAAAACGGGTAAGATTGGCTATAATGTAATTATCTTAATCTTCACTATCGTTACTTTTTGCCCAGCGAAGCGGGTCCTTGCAGCTAGATTCTAGATTACTTAGAAAAGCAGTCTTTTATATATAAAAAAAAACTATATTACATACAAATAAAAACTCAGCGAAGCGGGTCCTTGCAGCTAGTTATATAAATAAAATGCATAGTTATAAATTATTGATTCGTTTATTATGAATATTATGTCTTATAAATTGATTATTTAATTAACAATCTTCTGCTACATTACATTGATTTTGCTTATACAGTGTTTAATTATTTAGAGATTTGTCTAATGTACTCTGTTTCTTTGATTTCGTTATGTGAGGAAAAAATTTTAAGATCCTCACTTGTACCGTACTAAAACTTGCTGAAAATTTAAGTATTATTCATGTAGTGATAGCATTTGTCAAAACTTACAGTTTGCTACAAGCATGGTTACCAGGTAATCATGTAAAAAAATTGTAAAATTTATGTTTAAAATTACCTATGTCATGTGCATAATAATACCTAAAATTTTGTACATTCTTTTTCAATATACAATTAAATGTATAGAATTTTCAATAGGATACACTTGAAAAACTTTTTAAGTGAATTAATTTTCTACTCTAGAGAATAATTTCAGTTTACTTAAGTAGGAAATTTTCTTAAATGGGAACATTTTATATGGGAAAAATTTGGAATTTTTAAAATTAAACTTCTTACATAGAGAAACTTCTAATGCAGGAATTTCTTAACTGAGTTTTACTATTACTGAAAATAAATAGGCCTGATTTCAAGAATATGATGAGTTTTAGAAATAAAATTATTTTCAAAAACTATCAACTAATTTTTTTAATGAAATCTGTACACATACATTGACAGATATTGCTCTGGATATTATAGAATGTTTATCATAAACTTGACATTTATCTTGTAAAAAAAATGCTTCCAAAATATAGTAGTGCCTTATAACTTCATGGGGCCCAGGCAAATTTGAATTAAGGGCTCCCATTTACAGTGTTGACTTCAGACATTTTTATTCTAAGCGAAATGCTTTCTTGTAAGAAATTGGTTTGGGGCCACAGGCAATTGCTCTTTTTGCCCGTAGGATTATATATATATATATTAAATTATATCTTCACAAAATTTGGCAAGATGTTGATTATACATNAATATTTTTATATGCTGTTTTAGCTCGGAATTCCGGAACAGGAGGTAAAGGTTCATTGGTTATCATTTTCTCCAGTCGAAGACCATTTCTACTTTAGACAACACCAAGAATGTTCGCAGGAAGCAATGAGAAAAATTAACAAATTTCGTAACTTAGATATAAAATTATCTTCGCTGGACAGGCATTCATCGATGCAGGTAATTTGTTCGAATGTATACATGCATGAAACATGAGATTTTTGGCATATCATTTTAAACAATTAATTACATTTTGACTTTTCTTAACTCTTTCTATCCTACAGGCACTAAGAAGGTCTTTTTTTTTAAATTTCCATTACAGATTCAATTAGATTTGCATTAGGGGTGGCTAGATGGTAAAGGATAGAATCCAACATCTTTTGATCAACCCACCTCTAAAAATTTAGATTTTGAATAGCAGGCTGATACCTTTAATGCTTTGGCCTACAATTAATTATAAATTAGAAAGTTATCATTTAAGATGTTAATTTTCAGAGAAACTATAAGATATGGTCCCAAACTGTTTTTACTGCCAAATTTTTTAAGTTTGTGTTTTATTGTTATATGTATATGTAGCCAAATACTGTGTCAAATTTTATGAATTTATTACATGTGCAATTTTTCTATTAGACAAGGCTACAATATTTAGTTGATTATCATCAGTAACAAGTAGCAATTAACTAGGTCTGCTAAATAAGGTTGGGTGAGGTAAGTGTACCCTCAATTACAGAATTTGAAAGTTTCAGACAGTGAGGCAGAGTAAAGATTACCTGATTATAAGTTAAGTTATTCCAAAGTTGGTAAGTTATTCCAACAATTGGTTTAAAAACCAATTGTTGGAATAACTTACCTGGTTCCATAGCAATAAGTTGTGAATAGCACAGGTCTCAAGTGAATAGTATTTGTTGAGCTGAATTATGTTTTTTAAAAATAATTCCTTCTGTTATAATAGCTAAGATAAAATCAAATGCAGGGTTAAGTATCATAGCTGTGACAGTAATCTTTCATTTGTATACATACTTTAGTATATGTCACTGCAAGTATGGCTGTAGCAAATGAAGTAATGATGGTACAGTAGAAAGCAACAGTAAAATCAGTTTTATTTATTGTAATTTAATTAATTAATTAATGGTGTTTGTCAGGGTCACGCAAATGGTTGAAGAAAAAAATTGCCCTGTCAGTACGTCATTCTATGCAATGTACTGTACCAATAAGGCAATCATTAATACCAGATCTTTAATGTTATTCACTCTACAGACAGGATGTCATTGTCCAATAGCCACTGTTTGGAAGCATTGGTGGAGTGTCACAAGTTAGTATGATGATCTTGGAGAGTGTGCCAACGGATTTTTTTATCCATCATTTTTCATCCATTTTTCTGGTTTTTCATCTATAGTATTCTTTGTTAATGTCACCCATATATACCTTCTGTCAAGTTTTCAACATTAGTGAAACCTGTTCAGGTTTGTGGAATGACCTGTTCAGGTTTGTGGAATGGTGGAGGAAAAGCATACTTGGAGCTGTATTTTGTGGCCTCTATAAGTTGTTTGAGAGATAATATCATTTTGGAGCCTGGATTGCTTGCTTGGAGACTGCTTTTGTGAGAGCCACGATATCTTAGTTCCATGTTTTTTTATGTAGTCTTAGCAATAATGATTCTGTGAGATTTATAACTCCAGTGTTTTTGGTGTAGAACAAAGCCAGATCTTGAGAGTGGATATCATTTTCCAAATAGATTAAATTATTTAAAAGGGAATACATTGTTCTCGTAAAATAAATGACTTTTCTAAGACACATCATTTCACTGTTGGTAATGACATGCACTGGATGGGGAGGTGGATATTAAAAATAAAAGCAAGGAATATATCTTCAGAATGGCAACATAGAAAAAAGTCCAGTTTGGCCAATGTTGTACAAATTCGAACTACAATTTTCCTGTATTCTTTGGCTGGCATAGCCATTATCAGCATGTAAACAAAGAAGAAATTGGATAATAAAAGTATTAAAGAAACAAAAAAACCAATTAGAACACAATCATCTCTCACACAGCTGGAAAAGCTGGAGATATATAAGGTTTGTAAGAAAATAAGGCCATAAATTTCAAAGATAGCAACACCCTCCTAGCATGGAGATCTCTTTTTGAAGTCCAGAAAATAAATACTACACATAATGTTATGTGTAGTATTTATTTCTGGGATTCACCAACCAATCAGATGATGACTCTTCGTTTAAATTATGACATTCAATTCACCTGTGTGGTTTGTCATTAAATATTTTTTCATCTTTTGCTGGAGATTTTTTTTCTTTAATAGAATTTCATCATAGTAATTTCATTCTCTTCCAATGAGCTAACATCTATAAACAAACCAGTATTTATACAAATACAATTAGTACAAAAGATATAAAATAATAATAATCAATGTAGATTAAAATAAAGATTGTAGAAAAGGACTACAGAGAACTTACATATTTTTCTATAATTGTCAATATATGGATCTGGACACTTGCATAATGTAAAATTTGTAACATTTATTTAAAAGTTTTTCAAAAAATTGATAAAATCACTTTACATTTGATTTTAATCTTAAAAAAAGATTTTTAATGGAATGGATATAAAAATTTAAGTTAAAATGCAG